AATAAGCTTAATAAATCAAAAACTATCCGCGCAAATATATTATTATACAGTAACTTGAGTGACTTTTGTTCTCTGTGCGTATTTTTTTTATTTTTGTTGTAATCTATATAACAATTTCTCAAATTACGAAATTCTATATTTATTTCATGTTAAATAATATTGAGTAAACATTTGAAATAGATAGTTACAATCTAAACATTCTACAAAAAAAAAAAAAAAAATAATCCGCGAGATTAAAATTGTTCTGTAATTGCGGAGATATTCACTGTTGAAATGATATTTCAATATGCGTCATACGATACTTCGTAATCGGAAGCTTTCGACTCTTTGTATCTTTGCTGCTTCAAATTGCAGATCGTATTGCGTGTGTTACTTGCATGTTTTTAATAAAAAAAATACAAATATAGTGTGTGTGTGTGTGTGTATGTGTGTGTGTGTGTGTGTGTGTAATGCGTGTGGCGTGTGCCGCAAAATAACGCTCGATTTAAACCTTCGTTTGTTAGCAGCGATATTGCAGTATCAATGTGGTGACGATTCGTTCGGAGTTTAACGCACAAAAGCTCGAGTGTACCCATTAGTGAGATACTTTGGAATTCAGTTGAATGCGAAAGCCGCGTTTAATGGCGGGGAATGTGGAACTATCGATAAAGTTTCTCGTTTCCGACCGCGACGGAGAGTCAAAGAGAGGTCTTTCGCGGCCCTGTAATTCGATCTTTGTGCTACAACGAGGAAAGCAAACGGCATAATCGTATTATACCAATATTTAGATAATGTTCTACAAATTATGACATTATATTACAATAATTTCCGTTAAATTGTTACTTTTTCGTATCGTAATATTCCGAAAAAAGTACGCAAGACAAAGAAATATTATTACCACTCAACCTGTTGCAAGTTAAAAGCATAAAGTTTTTTTAAAATAGAAAAAAATTTTTTGTATGATATTTTTATTACACAAGATATTTTTTTTATTAAAAAAAAATATTAATTTCATAGAATATTGAATAATGGTATTGCTGCGCTTACGTTTCCAATTACATTAATTAATTCAATCGTTTGCATTTGAAAACGCGCAAGTTGATTCTATATATTTACGTTAATGAATAGATGTACAAATACGAATAATTGGCCATATTCTCATTGATCACATGTTAAATTGCATTACACTAATAGATGTTTTTTTATTCGCAAAACAAATGTCGGGAATTATAGCGTGCATTAATAATTGCAATTGTTCCACGATCTTAGGTCTAGAATCATATTGTTCCAGTGAGAATCTAAAACAACACGCGGTCGGCCGGTTACTTTGCGATTACGGTTTCAATTATAAACGGGTGTTACCGAGTTGCTTGACGGAGCGTTGTTATCTGCGCGATGCGGGCTTGATTTGTGAAATTAAGTGAAAATATTTATGAGCAATTTACACACAGCCGATATTGCGCGCTGCATGTTTCACGCGACACGCGCGCATCGTCATCTCGCCATACTTCGTCGACCGCGGACTTTGTTGCAAATTAAATGCGGCTGCCGTAGAGTTTATTCCGGTTAGAAATTTCTTCTGAATTATTGACGAACTGCCGACTCTTGTTGAAAGAAGTCCCAGCCCCTTTATTTCTTATAATCGTAGCACAATATAACGTATTTCACACTGATTCACTTTTCAATTATCGTTTACTTGTCAATGCAAAAAGTGATAAGTGAAAAAAAGAACTAATTTTAGAAATAATCATAAATAATGATAAATTAACATTTGTTTTTAGGCTTTTTATAGGCACAAATAACTGTGTAATAATAGACAAATGAAGAGAACGATGACAGTATAAATAGCGAGAATCAAGCGAAAGCAAATTTCAGGTGAACAATTTCAGTGAAAACGGCAGACTTGGTCAGACAACTGGGCGATGGTTGACCTCGCTCCGCTTCTACTACTAGCACAGTGCTGTAAAGGCGTACCGCATTCACATTAGAAATAAACTATATCTAGTTGCACCACGTTGCATCAAACGCGTAATAAATGTGGAATATGTGATAGTACTCTAGTACCATCGCATCCCTTTAACCCTCGGGGTGAGCAATGAGCGTTGCATGTATGCCTTGGCAAAAGGATATGTTAGTTCTATCAATGTACAGTTTTGGAATAATGCAGTGCAAGAGACGCTTTATAACATACATGTCTACGTGTGTACATGTTTCTGACAAAATTTATCAAATATATTATAACATAAAATTCGATATTTATAAACGAGAATCAGACAAAATTCATCTGAAATATTTATGCGCATACTTTTTTCTTGTTTTTTTCAGTATATAATGTTACAAAATAATCAGTTGAAAGTATTGTGCTTTTATTAAATTCTTTTCTACAATTGTATTATTACAGTTATTGAAAAAATCGCAAAATATTGCAAAAATTTGTAATAATTGTCAAGAAAAAATGGAAGGAAATGGAGCAGATTTAATTGTTATAAGTTATATAACGCACATTTTCAGCTCGATATTATTTTACTTTACTCTTTCGCGTGCAACATATATTTACAATTGCAGCATAGAAGCAATAAATCATAAAGTTGTCTGATAAAACTTCTTTTCTTTTATATCTATACAGAAAATATAGCTTCCATGATAATACACGCAAGCAAGGAAACCTGATATTCCTAGTGAAACTTAAATTGAAAATTGACGTACGAAAGCGGGAGAACTTGGAAAATAAAATAATAATATAATTTTTATGAACTAAATAGCATGAAATTATTGCAAATTAGTATGAGAATTACTTTTGAGAGATTTCCAAGAAAAATTCCGCTTTCATTCAACCATTTTGTTGTTTTATACATGTATAAGCGCGACTGGCCAATGCCCGGCAAAATTGCAAGTCATTACAACTTGAGCATTTGCACGCCATATGCTTAGCATGTTGAAGCAATAACAGTTTGTACTAAATTCCGAACGTTTGGTCAGTTTGCATTGAAGCTTCCTGAAATTCTAAGAGATCACAAATCGATAATACTTTCAAAGGGTTTCAAATACAATATTAATGCGAATGTTTATATCAAATTGATGAAAAAAGTCGCTTTTTCGTTAATGTTTATTTTAAAGTTATTGATTGTTCTCTCAGTTCAGAATTTTTTAAATCAGGCAAAAACTTGTTTCCAGATGAAAAAAAGTATATTGAAGCTGACGGTGACTATTTTTATTAATAAAAACTGGTTTGAAAGTTTGTAATTCCGTTTCCAATTTTATTTGACAAATATGACAAATCTATTATACATATCTAATAGAATCCATGTGTATTTAGTCAAATTTGTGCTTTTGTTTTAAGTTAATTTAAAAAATAAATCTTCTTTTATCAATTTAAATATTCTCATGTTTCAAATTGTCAAGTTGAACGAGCAGATGATTTACGTTTTCTTATCTTGATTTCGAGATTGAGTGATCAAAATCTAATCAAATTGTGAAAAACGTGCCAAAAAGCATCCATATGTATCATCTGTCTTAAACTACTTTGCATACACTTCGCCTGAGAAACAAGAGAGAAAAGGAGCGACGAGAAAGAGGAAGGAACTGAAATATCTTTCATTCAGAAGACAGAGAATATTCTAAAAGAGAAAATGAAAAGTGACAGACATAAGAATGTGCGCAAGATTGAGACAACGAAATGTCTTTGATGTCGTTTAGCTCGGTGAAACCTTTATGCATTTCTTTGATGCTTTAAAGTTCTCAAAATCTTTGCATCAGACACAGATGCTTGGAACTTGGAATTGACGGAAGAAGTAAATTTTTTTTGGTCTCTCATTATTTAAAGAGGCTAAAAATAAATTGGAGAAAACGAGATGTTGCTTGACTATGCAGATGAGTTGCCGTAATGCTGACGAATTTTACAGCAGAATGTGTATTCACATTTTAAGTCATAGACTAAAATTGATTTTAATTATGTCAGATATAGTTTAATTATGATGGACAGGTTGTAAAATGGTTTCTGTTTTATTTCCGATAATGGAAATACGATAATTGGCGCAAATTATATTTTTTGCAGCATCGAGAATTAAACTTCCTATTGAGTCTCCGATTTAAGAAGATTAATATTTATAGGATTGGATATGAAAAAACGCAAACAACTACATTATCTAACGATATTTAATAACGCATTCTACTGGTAGACGAAATACATAACAATTTTTTTGGATATTTCAGTTATCAATGTTTCAAATGTAAAAGCGATCAAAATTTTCGGCTTTCAAATGTTATGGCTAAATCGCGAGAGAGAACTGAAAACAGTATCGACACTCATTGCAAGTATTTTATTGCTGACCAGTGAGTCGATTTAAAAAAATCGGAGGGATTTTGTTCGCTCGGCGAGCTGTTACAAACGCGAATAACGTTTTATGTAATCCGTCTTCGTACGTGCCATTTGCCTTTGACGTTTACCACCGCGAAAGGCGCGCTGCTATTGATGATAGCAACGGCGTTGTCAGAGTTGATAGCGGGGTTGATAACGCTGCGCCTATGGACACACAGTTTCGCGAACGGAGAAATAATGAAATTTGCCGTTGACGAGGCGAATGGTGATTAATGAGTTGCACACAGGTGCGAAAATTGTGTCGCTCGACTGAGACTGCGCACATAGGCACGCTTTGTCGGAAAAGTTCGTCGACCGAATATACAACAAAAAGACGGGGAAAAAAATGACTAAAAATACACACGAGAAACTCTGTAGAAACTTCAGTTTTTTAAAGCAATGTAACGAATCATTTTTTGACCTTAAAAAACAATAGATAAAACTCATTCTGTTATACTTTTTCAATTTTTAATGTTAAATTGTATCCTGATACTTCAAATATTATGTTAAAGTTTTAAGTAAAGTTTTTTTGAAAGTAAATCAACAAAGAAAATTTGTTATTTATTTACGTTTGCGTTAAAAAATGTAGTTTTTTCAACAACATGTGTATTAATTAGAATCCAGAAACTTGGAATAGTACATAAAATTACATTTTATGTTTCAGCTTACAGAAACAATGAAGTGGCTTTGGATAATGGTCTTAATAGCTCTGGCCCTGCCAGCTGCTGTGCCACGAAGAATCCACAGAAGTAAACCCAGTGAGTAAACATCTTTTAATAAGTGCTTTATAAGCAGTTATAATAGGAAAATGGAAATCGTAGAAAAGACTTTTAAAATACGATAAAGTTTATTTCGTTTTAAAAGAATAAGTTATGTATTGTTCCTTTTGATTATTATTTCTTTATTAATTTAATAAATATTGAGATTTTGCATGGACATTCCTGAATGTTCAAAAAGATCGGAAAGCTTCTGATGCTTGCGAGCGAGCGGAAAATCGATTCCGATCGGCTACGGAAACCTCACGTCGTGATTGGAAAAGACTGTCATCGCTTGTTTCATCCTGTAACTTCGATAAACCGATTTCAAAAGGATTCATGATTGTGCAAAATGTCACATCGCATTTTTATTGAAAATACACGAGTCAAAAGTTTGCAAACGCGCGTACAATATTTTATGATAGATTATCAATTCTCCTGATAACTCAGATCTCAGATAATATTAATAGAAAAAAGATATTAATCGAAATATTCTCGTTTTTAAATCTTTAAATCTGTAAACATTTGGATAATTTTCGAAACGATTAGAAAACTTTCGAGCACACATTACGAGTAAGCGGCGTCTCATTAGCGAGAATGCTCGTTGTGAAACCGTACGAATTTAATAGTATATATTGGATAATATAATAGTATGCCATAATGTACGATAATATATAGTAAACATGAATATAATAATTGTTTGATCTATAAGTTCATATACATTTTTGTTTCTTATTTTAATTTGTAAAATACGTCTCTGCAACACGATGGATTTTTTCTAAAAATAATATATATGCTAAATCTTATATTTTTTCTTTTATCCTCGTATTTTATCCTATCCTGAGATTCGAATATTCTGCGGACAAATAAAATGCACTCTGATTTGTTACGCGTCCAGAGATTTCTTTTGTTCGCCGCAAGAAAAATGAGTGATCGACCGAAGCGAGGTTTTCGTCGGCGACAGATGTCGGTTATTGGAAAGAGATATCTCTTTTTTGTTTTTAGCGCCACGATTGTATGGCGACAGAGTACCCGTCAGGTTAATAAGGACCACCAGCAGCAAAGTGCGGCAGAAGATCGTGGAGACTCACAATTACTTTCGCACGCAAGTCAAGCCATCTGCCGCCAACATGCTCGTCATGGTAAGAGCTCCATTCGTATTCTCGTCCTAACAGAAGAGAGTCCCAGTTGGGGCCGCTAAGTGAACTGTAGTGCCTTCGAGGCACTTGATGATGACTTTCTATCAAATTTTCGCAGAGAAAAATGAACTCCATATTCATACTTCGACTGTCATTGAATTTTAATGCGCCAATGTTCAATTATTCTACGGGAATCTGTTTTTGAACTATTATTCATACAAAGTAATAACTTCCTAAGTTAATACTGTACTTTTTAATTTTTAATAAGACTTAGGTTTGCAAAGTATAAAAAAATACGCACTGTTGGCTCAAAAAAATTTCTTTTTCTTTCATAAAACCTCGCAAATTTTTCTCTAATTTCTTTTTCAGTTGTTTTATTTAAAGTCTGAATTTTTTAAAACAAAAAAGTACGTCCAAAAATGTATATTTGGATAGAAATTATGAAGAAAAATATACAGTGAGTCTGCTGAACTCAGTTTGCATTTGAAAGAGATGTTTTTTCCAGTCTGTCTTGTCATGGTTAATCACAGAGGAATTTTTCAAGATTACCAAATGTTATACTCAAATTTTGTATGTATAAACGCGAAAAATTTCAGAGAAAACCCGCCGTATTACAGAAGCGTATTTTATATATTAAAAAAAGGTTTAATATACGTATATGTAAACATGAATATAATAATTGTTTGATCTATAAGTTCATATACATTTTTGTTTCTTCTTTTAATTTGTAAAATACGTCTCTGCAACACGATGGATTTTTTCTAAAATATATTTCATATATTTACAAAAAATGGACACAAAATGATTTATTATAAACAAGAACATATCGTATTCACCCCCATTTATATTGCGTTACTATTGCAAAACTGGAGTGATAAACGGTTTATAAAGATAAAATGTGAATTATGACGTTCAAAGCAAAAATATTTTTGCGAAACGAAAAGTCAATACATCCAATTTGATTGACGCCTGTCCGTGCGATTCGAACTTCAAAGTAAATTTGGTTTCACAGTGCGGAAGTAAACGTTACGCGCTTCATTGGCACGTTTTGCGGACCTTCGCGGTAACCACCTTTCTATAAATTTCATTGCACAAGTTATCACGATATTTCACAAACGCCTGTTCACTTTTTGTCTACTGTCGTCCCTGGGCCGCATTACAGCGCTCGCGGCCGATATAGTCAATATAGATATCGAGAACTTTGATATACTTGTCATTGTATCTAGCCTCGACGGCGTATTTTTGTTCGCAAACGATGAAATACGGGGACTTGGAAATTTTATCGATATGATATATATAGATGGTTTTGCGATCTCCCATTGTGATCACGCCACAGGCAAATTTATACGCGCCTTAAAGCAAATTTTTATACTTCACTGTCAATCATTCTAGATGTATCATTCATAGTGAAATGAAAGTAAGAATATCATAAATATCATTTTTATGATTATTCGTTTTAAACAAAAAATGAAATTGTATGATCCCAGCAAACACCAAGTTACAGTTATATAATTGTTAGTTGTAATTTCCCACTCAACAATATAACTGTTATAATACACGTGTTATATAACAATTATATTATTGAGTGGGAAATTACAACTAACAATTATATAACTGTAACTTGGTGTTTGCTGGGATGGATCCAAATTTGTTATAATTTACTTTCTTCACAAGAGCCTTTAAATATATTTATCATATTTTTAATTTTAATACATATATAGATTACATTTAAAGATTTGAGAATCTTTGGCTTTTTGGAAATCAACTTGCTCAAATCTTCATAGGATTTCTTTGTGCAGGATTCGTGCACGATAGGACCGAGCATTTTCACTCTTTGAATAATAGCGGATATTCGCTTTGAAGTTTTATCGATTTTCCCAGATTCCCACTTTTCAAAATGCAATCTTTCCAAATTCTGTGGCTCGTGTATCTCTCCATTTACGGAAATGGAAATAGCTTTCCATGCGCTGGCCTCAATATCGATTATCGGCAGATTTCTCTCTTTTAAGTCTAGTTAATCGCGATTATGATGTATTCAGCCTTTTATTATCTTTAATAAAAGTTCTATATAATTTAAACTGACAAATTTGTAGTAAAATGTAAAATGATGCGTGGACTAAAATAAATAATATGTGTTTATACATTTGAGGATTCAGGATTAATTACTACATTCAAAGAAATAATTATATATTACGAATAAGAGAGCAATTTTCTGGAGAATCGTGCGCGCAATAATATAATAAAAACAACATAATTCAACTTTTGGCACAATGCACATTCAATTCGAGTTTTGGGCAACTTCGTAGTAGATAAAGCGCATCGTTAATTGGACTGATTAAAATTAAGCGACGAAAGCGCTCGTTATCCGCTTGTTTCGCGATTTTCTGCATTCTCTGGAAAATTATGAGAATTGCTGAATGTAAATCCTGCAGTAATTATTGTCCGCAACACGCCTTTTCTTCTATTTAGATAATAAAACACAATAATAAGCAAAATCGATATTTCAAAAATAATAAATAATCGATAAAAGATTATTTAATTGTAAATTTACATCCATTGCAGATAATTCCGATAAAGTGTGTCCTTTTAACAAACAATTATAGAAAGATGTAAATAAATATAAATGGAAATTATGTAAAGTACAATATTATAAAACGTATGTTTTTCCTAAATATGGATTGTAACTCCGTTTCGTCAAATATTCCAATCATTCAATGAGCTTCCGATGTTAAGATGTTACACGCGCTGTATATATAAAATAGATATTATCAGAGATTTACCTTACGAAGTGGTTTACTTGATCAGAAAACTGAATTTTCGAGGTTTGCCGTCGAGTACGGTGCAAGATTTCAATTTCCGCCTTACATCGACGTTATTATCCGATCCACATATAAACATGTATATGTGCTATATATCACTCACTTCCCGTTGTTTCTCACCGTTATATAGCGTAGGAAAAACGCAATATCTACCGTAGTCGATAGCTTACTGCAATAAATTCATACAAATATGAACCGATTTAATTCGTACATATCTTAATGTAAAAAGAAAGAAAAACAAAAAAATATAGAATAATTGTGTTCTACTTATTTGTATGATTGCATAACTTTTTTAGTTTATCAGTTTTGTGAAATTTTCTTCCGAAGAATTCGACGTACATGAGAATGCGGGCAGGTGTCTACACGGTCCATCTCCGAGTCTTTTCTCCGTTTACTCATCGCTTCTTTCGCACCGCCAATCTTCAGCTTGGTTATAAGTTACACGACTTCCTACTTAAATTCTTTTTCCGCAGAAACTACCGGCGACGTCACCGTAAAAGCTACTTTCGACGGGAGTTACGCTGTAGATGCGACTGTTATCCAGGGTTTCTCCGCGAAACTCTGAGGCGGGATGTATGTAGTTTCTCTAAGAGGGGATGACCGGTATCGGAAATCTTTCGACTGAAGGATATAGTCAGCGTCAAAATTATATACTGCTCGCGGCGCAACCAAGACATTACGTTTATCTTTCTTAATAAATTATTATTAAATTAAATAATGATGATTATATTTCACAATCAATCGTGATTCTAATCTTGTTCGATATAAATTTGTAATACAAAGTAATTTAGAGTTATCATCTTTCTTGCTATCTTCTTTTTCTGCGGATAAATAATTTCCTACTATTTGCCTTTCCACAAATCAAATTATTGCGTTTGATTTTGTGATATAAATTATGTGAAAGAAAATTGCAGAGATTCCCTGCAGAAAAAAGCGATAACTAGATACACAATTTTGAAGTACATTATATGTGTCTCATAGAATATTCAGTATTGACTAGAATTCGAAGTGAACTTTATGTAAGCAAGCAAAGCAGTCGCCTTTAACAGTCGCGTAAATCACGAAGCGCCACTGATTAAAGCTCCCTGTTCTAACAATTTCTGAGTTTCTTAAGCTTAATATAGGTGTGTTGAATGCAATATCAGGACATCTTAGTAGGCAACTTTCGATCGTTTTTTCATGCCAAGTAATAGTGCTGCAGTTATTGCGACTACAACTCACGGTTCATTACGGAGAATTAAGGCGCAGTTATAATCGTGCAATTTCAGTATCGAGATAGTAGAGGAAAAAAAATATGAAAAATAATAAAATCATAGGAAGCGCAGTATTTTTTCACGGGAAAGTTTTAGAAACGCAAGCTTTGCTTCTGCGGAGTAAACATGATAGCTTTAAAAGTGCAATATTTGCATGTAACAAGCAATTAAGGAGCCAGAAAAGTTAAGAAACTTTTGCGAATTTACGTAAGTACAGGACGGGAGAAAACTTTTTGCACATCAACATAGTTGCAATTTATATTATAAGCATTTCATTAAATTTCATGCTTTTCTGAAACGTAATATCTGCAAAAAACTACATATATTAAATAAAATTACTATTAATGACTTGAAAATACATTAAAAAGCAAAGGTGCTTTTTAATTTTTCCTCGTAGAAACATTTTCTCAGTGGGGCTTTTAACATTGGCAGTTAAGAGTATATTGTAAAACGTCATTTACATTCAAGCGTGTCCAATAATTCAGAAATTCCCTTCCCCTGTTTCAGAAGTGGCATCCGGGCTTAGCGAAGGCAGCGCAGAGATGGGCCGATCGCTGCCTCGGTTTAGTGCATGACAATGCAACCGGTCTGTACCTGGATGGTTTCGGCCAGAGTGGACAAAACATTTTCATCAGCACAGGTCGTACACTCTGGTGAGATATTATTAAATCTTGTTTACTTCTAGTTAGCGAGTCCGCGTTGCCGTTGGCGTGTTTGCACAAGTGTATTTCGGGGTGCACGCCAGACTTTATTTTATAAAAATATGCGGCGGGGTCCATCCATAACAGGTGTATCGTTAACCGCCTAATTGTCATTTCTTTTATTTACATATAAAAATTAATTCCTCGGAATGACGATAGTTAATGCATCTTGAATAGCGGATTGTGCGAAAGTAACTTGCTTAAATATAACAATTTGCACGAGAAGATTCAATTTTACACTACTGCAAGAGAATATTACTAATTGTGCAACTAAACCTTTAGTCAACAGAGATAGAATCAGAATACATGTAGACAGCTTGTAATATATATGTACAGTTGTGTGCGCGCGCGCGCGCGTGAATGTGTACGTGAAGACAAGAGCTTTACAAACATTAGGTACGCGGGAGCTTTACATCGCACGCAGACAGTCCGCTACAACCGCAAATCGGAATCGCTCACCAATCGTGCTTCTGTCGGAATGTTCGCAGGAACTTCCCCATCAGAATGTGGTACATGGAGTACAAGGACTTCAAGTACGGGGCCAATACAACGAATGAGATCCTCGAGATCGGCCATTACACGCAGGTGGTGTGGGCGACGACGCATCTGGTCGGATGCGGAGTGAGCCATTGCACCGGCGGCAAGGGTCCGCTCGGCAAGGACTTCTACATGTATGTTTGCAACTATGCTCCGAGGTAGGTATAATGTCGATGTGAGAGATTTGTCAGTGCAGCGTTGAATTCGAGAGCAAATTCAATGAGCTTTTCGTCACATTATAATTGTATAAAATACATTTGATCATTTATGCTAAACGCATCCTTCAGCTGTGCGTAAAAAGGAAATGTCTTTAAATATACTTGTACGTCTGATGCAACTTTTCTGTTATTTTTTAAGATTCTGAATTTGTACGATCGAAACGCGGAACGTTTTGCGGAATTTGTTCGATAGAACGCGTATCAAGGCTACATAAATATATATGTATTTTATTAATAGAGAATAGCAAGTTATTTCAAGTAATTATTTTCGTTGGAGTGCGTACCATTTGCCGCGACTGTTATGATACACTGTTTCTGCAGTAGCAATTGCAATTGAGCCACGGATGCAACTTAGTTCATTAGCATGGAACTGACGTAATAATTTGCTAGAGGGAAACGAGGATTGAAACGGTTAACCGTAAACTTAGCGCGTGTGGCATCGCGTCAAAGCGAGTCTTACTTTGCATCGTGCTGAATGAGAGGTCAAAGCCGATTCGTGAGTTATTAATATAAAAGGAATAAATAAAAAAAGGAAAAGCCGTTAGAAACTAATAATAAGAAAAAAGTTAAAGAGCTTAAAGTACGTCAATAATTTATTCTTTGCACGGCGACGATCGCATTTGAACAACGACTTTGGTCGCCATATGGATATTATGAAGTGCTTAAATAATTATTTTGTATAAGTAAATTTTTGCTAAAATATTTCTCGAAAGATTAAGCTTCACACGAATCGCGAAAAAAACTCGAGATTTAAAAATCGCCAAAAATAACGTCAATCATTCACAATATATGTTTTTAGTCTAACTTTTCGCGGTGCAGCAATTTAACACATTCAATAACTTGAAGCTATTTTTATATGATCATAGAAAATGTGATCTTTTCTTAGATACATTGTGTACAAACTTGATTATAAACTAACCTTTTTCACGTACCAAAAATAACCGATGTATATTCAAGCTTGTATAAGACTGGCACATAAGCTTTCCCTAGACACGAAATATGTAAATCCTATACATATAAAATATATAAATATATATATATATATATATATAAATATAAAATATATAAATATATATATATATATATATACACTATATGTAAAAGATATATAAGCCGCTCGAGAGAAAACAGGAGGAACGAGGTAAGCAAGGAAAACAAGGAAAACGGTGACACCGGTGCGGAATATATGCAACGTCAGCGCGAGTTA